AATGGAAGTTCCAAGAAAGGGAACGGCTTGGGGTCGAAATCGTAAGTCTCGCTCCTGACAATTTGCACAGGCTCTCTATACATGAAGAATCTCAAGCAGTGCAGATTGACAAAGCCCCACCATCGATTACAACACTCCCCCCAGAAAAGTGCACGGATTGGAGTCGATCTGAGCCGCAAGTTGTCTCGCCCCTGACAATTTGCACAGGCTTTCTATACATGAAGACTTTTCAAGCAATGCATTTTGACAAGCCCCCGCGGCCGCCACACTAGTCCACTAGGTACTCTCCATTAAGCGCGCGGCTTGGAGTCAAAATTGTCACGTCTTGCCCAGGCGCTGTCAAATTGCACAGGCTGCTCTATGCATCGGAACTTTTTCACCTATAGCAGATTGACAAGCCTCACCATCGACGACAACCTCTTCAAAAAAGTGCAAGCCTTGGGGCCAAGCCTGGCTGGCCCGTGACAATCTGCACAATCTATCCTATACATTAAGAGAATTCAACCTATGCAGATTGACTGGCCTCTCTCTCGTGTACAGCTCATTTCAAACCTGAAACGGCCCAGTACTGCGGCATGGCTTGGGGGCGAAGAAGTGTCGACGACTTTTGATGCATTGGCTTGACTTGCCATATGAGACTGTCAGTACGTCAGAAAGTCACTCACTCAATAGCACGTCAACCTACTCTACTGGAGTTTTCCACAACACCACCGTCATTCAAGAGACCTGAATCAGAGAAATGGCAAGCTGCATACACATACACACCTTAGATTGCACACCAGGAGCTACTGGAGCTGGGACGGGCTGCGGCGCGACCAGCTCCTTGGTCGTTTTCTTTCAGGCTTGCTCCCACTCGCATCGGAAAGGCGCTCAGGCCCCGGCAATGCTGCCCTGCAGTGACATACGCTCATGTACTATGACACTGGCTGTACTGCATGGGGCTTAAAGGTTGCCCAGCGTCCATAGCGTATGGTTCTCGGGCCAAACCGGGCACTTTCCGTTCGGGTCAGCTGAATCCCAGATCGACGGCGCCCGGATGAACCCGGCCCATCGGACGGCTGAGAAAGTTGGGGGGAATTGGAGACTCGGCGCCGCCCCCGTCAGCCCATGCGCGCATGTCCAGCGCGCGCTAGCGCCCACTGCAAGTGCCGACTGAGTCGGCCCGGCCGCGCGGCGCCTTCTGCGACCGCCGCAGCCGGCCGCGCCGCGCGCCAGGCTGCAAGCTAGCCTAGTAATGAGAGTCCTGGCACGGCGCAGGCAATGGCTACCTCCGATGAAGCTCGGCGGTCGACTTCCTCTTTGACGAGCGCCCCTCCATCACCTTCGATCAAATACTCAAACACCGTTAAAGTCAACATGTTTCATGACCATTTTACGGATTGGGCCCATACGGCCAGCCGATGGTTCCACGATGGTCCAAAGCTCAAAAGCTCGCAACTATCCAACTATGATTGCTTCCAAGATCGTCTCTGATTTTTACAGTTCAAAAGGAGCCACTGCAAGGACACAGTGTCATCGACTTCTTCGGATTCATTATATCATTATTGTCGAATCATGCGGTTTGTACATGTGAAGCATCAGAAGCAGAGGTTTCCGGCGACGGTCCCTGACCAGAATCAGGCTTTAATTTCCGAGTCTGTGTAACAAACGTTTGAATTGAAGAGGGGCTGGGATTCAACTGACTCCGAGAGATTGAATTGCTTTGGCATGGTCCAAGCTGCTTAGCCACGGCGGGTTGTTTATGATCTGGCAAAAACCGAATCACGAGTACCAGTCCAAGTCTTCAGATAATCAACCACTTATTGTGAGTCAGCGGGACTCCCAACATGTTTCCGTACCGCTTGACACGTACGCAAAGGAGGAGCGACTAGAGTGGCATTGCAGAGGCATGGCGAGATTAGTACATGTGGAAATGTGTAAAGCTGTAGTGGGTCCCGGCTGAGGGGTCTTAGCCGAGCATTAGCCAAGGTGACTCTGCTCGATGGACTTCGAGGTAAGTCTTTTTGGATCTGGTCTGAAGAAAGAAACCATTAAACGATGGGGCGCAAGTTGTGCAAGGTTGACCTTGTGCGGGAGTCAGAATCTCGTGCCAGAGCCACCGTTTCGCTTTGCTACGAAACTTTACGTCCCGTTCATTTACAAAGCTTTTCGAGCGTTCTTGTTGAGGAGCCTCTACGTATATACTTTGGAGTGGCACATAAGGCAACTGTGCCTAGCACAGCCGGAGATCGAGATCCTACTCGCCACGTGCCACCGTGGTTTCCCTCAAGCTCTCCATCGTCGATTAGTAGGTAGTGTAAATGCTTGTATGCGCCCCATGTTTGACATGCTCTACCGTGTTCAAACGAACTGGTCTACCAGAGTATCTTGGATAGTTGATTATACGCCATCTTATCGATTCGCGACAAACGTTGCAAGCGCTCGACTGAGACAGCTGCTGAGGATTCTTCACAGCGGGATTGCGTGCGGGTTCTGAGATGGAAGTTTCTGGCACCAATTCTCTTTTGCAGCATACCAGCATTTCGTGTATATGCATTCAAGACGTTGCTACCAGTCAGACTCTCTAAAAGTGTATCTGTGTCAAATATGTTCAAGGTATGGAAAGAACTCTGCCTATCTGAATTGAAAAGAATGATGTAGAGGTTTCCATCACATCACTGAAAGTAAAGTACGTGCAATGAGTCACGTCTCGCTGGAAGATTCGAAAACTATTATCATAGGTGGCCGCCATGACTGCAAGTTACACGGCCGTATGCAGTAGTTCTAGAAAGATCTTCCCCTTGACCAGCGCTTGTCTTATTTCCCCTCGTTGCACTCTAGCTCTACCGTGCACACCGGAAGCTCGTAGTGCGGGTGAGACATTACTGTGACGTCGCCCCCATAACTTGGCGAGATGATCACTTGCGGAACCGGCAGAAGCAGGAACAAGATCAGCGTGAATGGAGGCCCCCTGAATATTTCACCGCTCGCACACTGCTTTTGGCACTAGGGCAAGCTCGTGATTGGTGACGTTCCGAACCAGTCCCCGCCCGCTACCCTCTTTTCTGGCAGCATTCCGTTCTCCAGGATGGACGGAACGTTGGGGGGAGGAGTGCCGTGGAAGGCGAAGGTGAGCGGCGCCGTGACCTGATCGCGGGAGCCCATAAGCGATTGGAACGCACCTGCGGGGTTGAATCATCATGCGAAGTCAGGCACGGATAACACGAATGGACGAGGTTCCATGGGCATTTCATTAGCTAAAAGCTTTCCTGCCCAAAACACCGATCCTAAATGATTTCCAATGCTTAAATATACGTATTCGTTCTTGTAGGCTGACGTCAGAGGCGTTGTGAACATGCCGTGTACAACGTAGTCTCGTCCGCAGATCTGACGGGCATTTGTTTTGCTATGTTTATTTTCACTTTTCCCCCTTCTCCGTTCACACAGCCAATCTTGAGAGGTTATCCATGGTTCCACCTCAGCCCCAACCAACCCTACTTTCTTTCGCCGCTGTGAAGGGCGGGTACCCACCTCCCAGGTCTGCCACGTGTCCCGCCATCGCGTCCAGAAACCGCTCGTACAGCGCGCCTCCCGGCCGCGCGCGCGCGTTCACAGCGACTCTCGAGACGCAAAGCCGAAGATGCCGTTGGCAAGTACCAATGAACGGGCTGGCAGCCGATGTTTGAACTGGACAGGACCTCATGGATGCGATCTTCGGATTTTAGAAAGTCTAGCAGCTCCATGAGAACCTGCAAGATGGAGCAGCAGTATTGGGTAGGATACAAAGTCAACCAGAGCAAAAGGGCTGTAGCGGTGCTAGTTGAATTCTAGACCCTAAAAGTCGAATATACCTCGAGCGGCTTTAAAAATCTGGGCGCTTCTGACATCAGTTGGTTATCGAAGTATCACCTTAGCCGCTTAGGAATATCTGAGTCTTCTAGTACGTCGAGCGGGATCGGAGTATAGAGCTATAACTATGTTGAGGAGAAAAGGGCAAGCTGGCAAAAATCAAGACCGGCTCCTCATCAAGCAGAGCAGCAAAGCGGAGGCTAGAATAAATCAAAGACGGTCAAGCGCCCAGGCGCGTAGAATGTGGCGCGTAGTGACCCTGTACAAAAGCGTACGTTTGAATGCATCGTCCAACGTCGTCGATAAGGAAATCAGAACGCTTCCTGTTCAGAGTGGGGGCATCAGAAGAGGGAACATCTCGGCGCTAAGGAGTACTGGGTTGTAAAGGATTCAGAAAAACCGCCTTCTTTTCGCTTTCGTCTCCCCAGTATTTGGATCGGCGACGATGTGCATCTTTCTCCATTACCTGGCGCTTCTTCGCCGCCTCGCTCTCCGTGATCATGGCCGCGAGCGCGCGCGCGTCGTTCGGCAGCCGGTCGAACATGCACGTCGAAGAGAAGCCCCAGCGGATGGCGCGTTCAGCGTTCGACGCCGGAGACCCGTCCCAGGCGGTCTTGAGCGTCACCACAAGGTCTTCGTCTTCAGCTTCTTTCGAGGATCTGTACGAAGAAGGGTACAGACTGTCAGAGATGATGGGCGATACGCGAAGGAAGCGTTTCGATCGATCTGGCTTCCGCAGTTTCATAAATAACCAGGCAACTGGAAGTGACAGCCTCTGAAAAGCTTGGCTCTGCTTCGTAAAGCGATGGACACTCGGCTAACATTCTGCTTTGCTTTCTCGACTTCAATTTTCAATCGAGGTTACTATGATCTTCAAACGTCATTCCTTGACGTCTTCAACGACGGTTCTGAAAGCCGGGTTCTCAGCCCTACTCTGAAAACCTTAGGTCCAAATTGCAAGTCGCAATCATCACCTGTGAGAAGCGCACGCGCGCTCCGCATTCCCGTGCTTTGCACTGTTTCGTGGCGACCTCCGCACAGTCTCCTCCAGCTGAAAAGTCGCCTCTCCCGACGCGCCTGCCGCGAGAATGGCGCGGCCAACTTTGGCATCGAATGGCTGCCACGTGCTGGAGCCGGGACGTCTCCAGCTGACCGTCAGATGCGGACCGCCTCTGACGATTGGCGGTGCTTCGGACGTCCTCGACATCCTTACAGCTGCCATCGAAGGGTAAGCAGGCTTCAACAGACAGATGGGCACAGGTTCTATATTCCATTTCGAGAGAGTGCGCTGAAGCCTTTGAACATTGACTCGTTCAAGTGGTGATGAAAGGACGTTCAGCCCTGAGTGCAAAGCTCCAGATTTTACAAAAGATGCACCTGCTACGACGGGATGATTTATTTTGAAAACTGCAATGCCTCGAAGGATTCAGTGAGCGTTCTTTGATAGAGGAATTTTCCTTCACTTCGTCAGTCTTCAAATGTAAATCGAGCTTGCAGCTTCAGCAAACAAGCTTCTCAATAAACAACTCTCATTTGGAGCGCTAAAGTTTCTGATGGGCGAAGTTCAGAAGTAGTATCTCATTTGATGACGGCCCACATTCGTAATGCACACTCCTAAGATGATGCTGTGCTGTGACTTGACGTCACGGAATGAAAGCTAAGTTGACTCGTATCACCAAGTATCCAGCCCAGATCCCTCAAGATCAACAAGAAGTACAGGAAATAAATAGTAAATTGACACAAATCTGGTATGTCGGGCAAGGGAGCAGAGATGTACGATGACGATGATGCAAAAGAAAAAACAAATTATTTCTGAGGCATGCGCTCGCTTAAAATTTGGGCACAGTGCTGACTCCCCCAATAGATGAAGCCGAACTGCAAAGAAGCAAACTTCTGTTCCTCAAAAGGCAGTTTCTGATATCAAGGTGAGCCCCTCGCTCACTCTTCGCGCCGAAAGCTCACCTCGGCTTTTTCAGCTTTGTGATTCCTCCGCGCGCGCGCGCCCAGGAAAAATGTGCAAGGACCAGATCTGCGCTGGACCTTTTCGGACGAAGCGCCGCGCCGCCAGTCACCACCTGCACGCTAAACTAAATTGATAATTATTCTGGCCGCAGCAACGAAACCGAAAATCTCAGCATCTTCCAAACCTCCTCTTGAGCAGCGCAGAGTCACCCCGGCTCTACGCTGGCTACTTTCAAATCACTGCTCAATCTGCGGCGCACGTAGCACGTAGCTGCTCCAGCAATGTCCGATGCACCTCAATCCCTCCTGTTAAGCACCACTTTTTGGCAACTTGAAGCGATCGTTTCAGGAGGAGGGTACAGCAGAAGCCTGTGCGCATGCAGGGTGAAACCCCGCTCCGTCTCGTCAGCAAACGATCCGCCGGGCGGACGCTAGGGGCAATCCACTTTCTCGACTGACCGCACGAGACGGTGACATTCGGACGTATAGCGCCGCAGCTTTTGAAACGCAATGATGCCCCCGCAGGTCGAGGCGGTTGTCAATATCTAGGACAATCGCAGAATATATTCGGAATTGCACCATCACACAGGTGTGTTCCGGCCAAGCTAAACATCCATTCTTCGCGTATACATTGACACTGTCCATCATGCAAGAGTCACCACGCAGGCTGCTAGGTTTTACAGCAGAGCTCAAGTCCAAATATGAGTTTTTGGAAAACCAGTCCACGAAAGGGTGCTAGCATAGGAGAAAAAGTGTATCCAGCAATATTGGTGTCAAGCGGCGGCGCTCGATGGCGTCAATGGTGGATGACACCCAAACGCTGTTTGTGACTCTGACTGCATCTGAGGGATGTCCAAATGGTACGTTCTTGATCAGTGCCGGGCGCCTTGTTGGGTCACTTGCGATCGGTGACGTGCCATCTCCGCCTTTACGTGACACTGCATACTTCATCGATGCGTCATCCTCGTGCCCTCGTGTCCGGCGCCGCCTAGTCAGCACAAGCTGAGCCGTCCGATATGCAAATGAACGGTCGGATTGGTGACAGCTGTCAATTTGTCCCGCTGCAAGACTTCAGGCTTCCTTTCAGCACCAGGACAGACAAAGTTAAGGCTTGCATTTCAGATTTCGGAACAACTCTGCAATACTTTTCAGAGCGCAGCAATCTGGAGGTGTAAACACAAGACGCCACGGGCTCTCATCTGAAGCACGCAGAGTCAGACCGAAAGCCGCGGCGGCCAGTGAATCTTCATTAGGGGCGCCTGCAGGCGTTGTGCGCGCATAGTATCTCTCTGCGAGGACAATGGAGGGCGGCTACGAGCGCTACTGGACCTTGCAAGACTTCTTTGCGTTCAACCAGAACCTCTTAGCCCTTCGCCAACAGGTTTGTGCAAACACTCTCCCCTTTACCATGGGAATCTGCTGCTGGTATGAGGTTCCCGGGAGTTTGGTGGAAGCTCAAGGTTTTGTTCAAAGTGACCTTTTTTTGGAAGATATTTCGATGTAATCTGATGGATTTATCATTGCCAGCACCCAGCTGACTGCGAATCTGCACAGGTATCCACGTTTTGTCAATCAAGATGAGATTCTCAAATGTACCATCACAAGTCGCCTCAGTTACCTGAGCTTTTTGTTCAACAACATGGGCACCTAGATATATGCTTAAGTTCACCACACGTGGTACTTTGAGAGAATCTTGTCATCCCACCAGAATTATCTTGAGGTTTTCCCAGAACTAGGTCGAAAACCCGCTTACTCTCTGCATCGGACTTCCTCAAGTATCAGCACTCTTTCCAATACTTAAAGAGATGAGGACTGTTTCACCAGGTGCTGTTTCAAAGAATGGAAGCTAAAAAAACTCTTTCTCTGAAGACCAAATCAGGCATATCTCGTGCATATGCCCACAGGTCAAAGCGGGAATGTGGAACCCACCAAAATTATCTCGATTTTCTCCATTCGTTCCTTTCAAACTAACAAAAGTAGGTCGCTTCCTTCAGCATTTCAACAAAACAAGTGTGAAAGCGTTTTACTTTTGCCATACAAAATATCAAAGTAGAATAATAAACGTGGTACAAATGTAAGCATGAATATTCTAGCTGTATCTCGCATCTCCTTTTCTTCAGGCCTGGACTCCGTTTCCTTATCTTCAATACCAAGCCTACCTGCCCCAAGCACTGGAGCCCCCAACCAAGCAACCACGCTCTGAGGCGAACGTAATCAATCGCCCCAGCCCTCCTTCAGCCAGCATATCCGACTCCTGCGGTCTCACCTCCTTCCGTTCATGTTCCGTCGCTCCGTTCACGCTTCCGTCGGAATCGTTCAGCAGCAGCAGCTGCGCGTCCTCCTCTAGTTCTCCTCGCCCGGTAGGCTCTACCGGGGATTCAAACAGGGACGACTCTAGTTCTTCCACCAGCCGCTACGGGCCGCCGTTCAAAACGGCGCCCGGTTCTTTCGGCTCCGCTTTCGGGACGGCTTCTGAGTCCGCCACGTGTCCACTCGAGGGCTGCGCCACGTGTCCAGTTGCAGAGCACGTGTGGTCCAACCCAGAAAGCAGTTCGAGGCCCAGACTTCCCCCGCGTTTCTGGGAGACGGCTGGAGAGAGGAGAACGGTGCGTCGAGAGAGACAAGAAGCGTTTCAAGCTGCTTACCCTCCCGCATATGTAAGATATTTCGTTGCTTTGCTCTACTGCTAAATCTTAGTTGCTCTTCTTCCTTCAAATCAAAGCTCGCTGCGCTCGCTTCTGTGCGGACGAGGTCTTTTGAAGAAGCAACCTGGAGGGCCGTCAATCATCCCGGGTACAATAGAAAAGCGCACTGACATTCAACAACGAAATGGCGCGTTCCAACTACAGGGGCCCCTGTCAAATGCCATTGGAAAATCGCTTCGCACCTGGTTCGACGCCTTGAATTAATTTCCTGGCTTCGAGTTCGCGCAGAATCGAACCGTTCCTTTTCGCGGTTCAAAGCTCGACGCTTAGAAGGTTTCAGGAGTTCCGAACTTGTCTGCAGCGGAACGCCGTTGCGCGGAACGGTCCGAACTTGCAGCGGCTCCAGACGGAGTCGCGAGCTCTGCAGCAAGCGCTGTTGACCAACGAGCCGCTCTCATTGCCGAGGCCAACTGCTAACTTCCTGCATGAAAACCCTCAGATGGTACGTCGCCATCTCTTTTTCCGCCCCGCAAGTATTGTTAAGCGAGACGGACAAACCAGCATGTCACGAACACTTGAACCGGACACTGAAGACTGCCTGCAGGAGTTATCTCATAGCTTTTAGGCCACACGGCTCTTCCTGCCGTTTCTTTCGGTTCTTCCCTTCCTCTGATGCGGTTTTTCCCGCGTTGCTCTCCTTTTCACCTCAGTTCGCTCACTGGTTCGCCCTTCGATAGGCTCACTTCAACTCTCCCGCAAGCCTCCATCTGCTGCGTCCTCAGATCTTTGTCTTCGCTAAATCCAAGTTCGGGTACCACTGTGCAGGGTCCGTGCGCAACAGGAGCGCCCCGCGGCCGCGGCCCGAGGCACCTAGCAGGCACCCGGGAGACGGCGATCAGGCCTGCGGGCCCGCCTGAACAGATGGTCGGGAGGAAACGCCGGTTGATCGAGGCTTGGCAGAACGAACAGCTTCAGTGAATCACTGTAGACGTGTAGGGGCACGTGCCAAAGGTCAGGCTTACTCCACTCTAGCCAATAATAGCTCGTCACTCAAACGTCGTGGAGATGCTGAAGCGGTGAAGTGCATGCAGTGCCACAGCAAAAGCCTTGGGAAAGCGAGTCTTAAGCTGAAAGACTTCACTGCATGGAATGAACGGTCGAAACTATGATAAGCGGCCGCCCTCAGGCGCGTGGAAAAGGAGACCGTGTCGTATGCGGCGCGGCCGCATCGCCTGGCACTGCCAATCTGCACACAATCACTTATACCTTTGTGAGCCTATCGAATATCTATACTGATAATATGTCTCCACGTATGTCCGTAATCAAATATAACAAGGGCATGCGTCCGATCGTCGAGCTACGGCGGCATGGGCGTGCATCATCTGTGCGCTTCGCACGAGGTCGGCGGGTTTTTATATGGTTTCGCCGACGCATGCCGTCACTCAGACAAGATCGATGTATACTCAGGCGGCCGGCGATCCACAGTGGCGTCGAAGGTTGTAATTTCGGCCCGGCCCGGCCGGATGCATGACCACGTACAGTGCCGCACTTGGTACTAATTGCACCAAATGAAATATATAACCCGTGTCTAGCACGCTGGCCCCGCGTCATGTTGCAGTGCATCGCACAACATATGCAGCTGGTGTTGATTCAGGTCCGTGATTTACATCTTTACGCAACGTGTCCGAGACCGTCCTCGCCAGCGCAACGTGTCTGAGACCGTCCACGAGACCGTCCTCGCCAGCGCAACGTGTCTGAGACCGTCCACATCTTTACGCAACGTGTCCGAGACCGTCCTCGCCAGCACAACGTGTCTGAGACCGTCCTAGCGAGCGAGGGCCATGTTCATGCCTTCAACAATGACATGGGCCTGATATGCACACAATCTGCAAAACTGTCCGACCACCCATGTGCGTCAGAATCCAACCAAAGTGCCGTCATCACAGATCTGGGGACTGCAGTACGTACCAGCATGCATTTAATGCAAGCTCGCTGACATGTTGTCAGGTCGTCGCGGCGCCGTTGCAAGCGCGTGCCGATGTTGCCATGCGGGACGATAATTCTGTGCGGCTTTCCTTGTAGAGCACCGAATCCTCGCTGATCCCGGCTTAAGTTGGCTCGTGTCTCTTCAAACTCTCGAAGAAATCTAGAAAAGTGTCCTCCTGCACTTTTGAACTTCTCAGCTTTGCATCCGCACGCTCCGACTGATGCTCGCCTTGATACCACTCGTCTCGCCGCCATACCCGCTCATATGCGTCTTCGCCTCCCTGACTTGGCCCTTCCGGTTGATCACCGCCTTGGCATGCCGCATCCGTTGCTTAACCCTCGGGTTCTTAATCGCCTTCTTCCTATGCGGTGTCAGCCCCTTGTTCTTCTCAATCTGTTTATTTATCCCCCGTTTCCCCTCCGCCAAATCGTCCTCCGCCGCAAATCGCCCGGTTCCACGGTCGTATTTCGCGGCCTTTGCGGCCCTCTTTAGCTGGCTCTGCTCTTTGGCGGATTTGTAGAAGTCGTCTTCGAACTCGCCCGACGGCCCGGCCTCGTCCGGCTCGCTGCCGGAGGGGGATCCCCCCCGCGGGATCCGGACGTCGTGCTTCTTGCGGCGCTCGCCCAGCGTTTCTCGGACGGGCAGGTCTGCGTCGCCTGTGGAAAAGAGGTCAAGGTTGAGGAAAAGTTAAGGTTGAGTGGTGTAACCTCCGTTTTATGAAGCCGGACCCCCTCGAATCGATCCTTCGTCTGCTCATATCAGAGTCAGATTCTCCAGAAGAGAACGAGTGGGCCAGAGACTGCGTCTGGCAGCATCACAAAATCTCCAGAACTAAACCCCACTTCTCGATGTTGATGTTCGTGCAGTGCTTTCTTTGCTTCGTAGCACTTCGCACTAGGTACCGAACAAACTGGCTGTGACGTACGCATCACAACAGGGTCTCAACCAGACGTAATGTCTCAAACATCAGCAAGTAGACCCACACCCGATTCCAGCGCTTCGCCATCAAACTGAGGAAGTTTGAAGCGCAGCCGCTCTGCCGATGCTCACTTCTCAGCAGGCACGCGTGCCAAACATTTTTCATGCGAGAGCCAAGCAAGACGCGTTAAGAGGGACCATCCTTCGGAAAGAAAAAGCTTTCCGCGAGAAACCCCGTCGAGAGTACACGCTTGGAAGCAGGTCAAAACCATACGGTAACGCATCTTAAGTTTCCAGAAGCCGGTCAACAAATAAGCCCCTCTGCAACGCGCAATGTAAACCCCCTCGATTCGACCGCAACGGAAACAAGGCGCTCTTGAGCTTGAACAGAGCTCTTTGTCGACCAATCCCGTCACTGCTCAACACCCGCGCCTCTACGCAAAAACCGGTACACACAACGCTTCTCTCCGTCCCCTCACCTGACAGCACGCGGGCCCTCTTTTCCGGCCGCGCCTCCTCCATCGCCGCTTGTCCCATCTTCTTCCGCTTCAACAAGTCCTCCGGCGGGGCCCCCAACTTTCCCCCCTCCTCTCGTTCGCCCTCCGCCACCAGATCCGCCACGTCATCATCGAAGTCGTCCAGCATATCCGACATGCCCGTGAGCCGTTTCACACTCTTTTGCCGCGCCCTCTCGGCCTTGGTGAGCGGCACGCGTGTGAACAGGTCCTCCTCGGCCTCGGCGCGCGCGGCCAGGCGCGCGCGCTCGCGCAGCAGCCGCTGGCTCTCGGCGCGCACCGCGTCCTCACGCACCTCCTCGGGGCGGCCCTCAATCTCCTCCGCCAGCGTGCGCAGCTGCAAGAGTTGTTTCAAACTTTCACTGTGATTTTCTCGATACAAGAAACTACGACTTTAATCAGGTAGATACGAACAAAGCCCTCATAACACCTCCTTGGGGCCGCCCTCCATCTCCTCCACCGACGTGCGCAGCTGCAGAAAACGTTCAAAGGCTTATAAATGTTTGAGACAAACGACGGGAAAAAGAAAGAGGATTCCCTTTTGAGTCAGTGGAATCACATCGTAGTGCAATCACAATCAACGTCCTCGAACCTGCGGCAGCCCTCGATCTCCTCGGCCGGTGTGGGCAGCTGCAAAAGCTTTCGAGAAACTTTTTTTCAAACCTTCGGTGCAATAAGCGTTTAGTCAATCAATCTGAAGGACTGAGCGATGCAGTCAGGATCAGCGTCCCCCGAGCACCCTCCTCGGGGCGGCCCTCAAACCCCTCCACCAGAATGCGCAGCTGCAGAAGCAAGTTTTACAACGCTAGGTATCTGAGGTTTCCACATCGTTTCGACGATTAGAGTACACCCTATAGCAGCGCCAGGCCCTGAGCGCACTTCATCGAGTCGCCGTCAATCGCTAAATCCGTACATCAGTTTCGGGCTGCGAAAGTGAAGACACGACACATTCTCAAACGAGTGAGGACGCTAAATCGGTGGAGAAGTGCACGAAGTAGGGCGGAAGCACGAATCTCTCCCCTCAAGTAGTCAACTAGGGTCCATCGAGCAAAGCATTGCTTCGGCTTTGACACTATCTTACCATTTTTAAGGCAGAAAGGGGAGAAGCAGACGGTAGATCGAATAAGGAGGGATCCATCCAACCACTTTCGAGAAGGGGGGCAATCACGTCGCTACTCCGAATTGCAACGCTGGACAAAGCGGTTGCCTGAAGAAATTCTTGACAGGCACAAGCTATTTGCAGTAACTAAGCATGAGGAGGTAGAACTACTGCTCAAAAGAACTCAAGAGGAACTTCGGGCTCAACCACAGAGGCATGCGACAGACGACAAAAGTCTGGTAGCAACCTTGGAACAATCGCTCAGTCAAAGGCCAAAAGTGGGCAAGCTTCGAAGCATCAGCGGCTCCAAATAAGGACACAATAGAATCGCTTGGCATCAGCCTTTTCCCGCAGAGGGGTCCTCAGCATGGTACACGCGCACCAATACAGAGTTTGAGGCAATATGGAATCATCACTTGCCAAGGAGATTGAAACAAAACGTGTAGACATGAAATACGTCGGATCGTTCTCAACCCTGAAACTCAGACCAACAAATCACAAAATTGTGGAAATGCGACAGCATCGCCAGACATTGTTGAACCCCCCCTACAAAAGAGAGGCTTTTCGAGTGAGAGGATGCACACTGCAAGGATTTCCGAGGCTGACTGGCCCAAGAACGGTGGGCCGACCGGAAACGAAAAGTGAACACTGACGATGTAGAAACAGCAGGAAAAATGACAATACAACACAAGGAAAAGTTGACGCCTATTGCCGGACATGCACTCACCAGTGCGCTCCTGGAAGCCCTCCTCGCCGACTCTTTCTTCGACCGCTCCTCCTTTCGGTTTCGCTTGTCCGGATCCTCCGCCATAGCTGCAAAAATAGAGCAGAGAAGCCTTTGTAAGTACTGCAAATGCAATACGCCCAGAGTTGCCACCCGCCCAGGGAGGAAAACGTCTATATGAGCACCCGAATATGCGGCAGCTGATATCTGATGCCTCGCACTTTCCTGCGGAAGAACACAATTGACAAACGGCTTCAACAGTATTGCAGCAATATTCCTGCCCCCAACCAAAAGCAAAAGCGCCCGGTCGTTTCCAGAAAGAACCAACACGCCAGTGACTTCAAAGCATAGAGAGACGAACGAGATGCATGTCTTACCTGCAGGGGTCATCATAGGCGGGCGGTATAACCCGTCAGCCCCTTCCTCGTCCAATTTGGACACTAGAGCGTCCGGATTGGGGCGGTATTTAAGAGCGTCCGCAGGGGCGGACGGGCCGCCAGGTGTCGCGTCACCATTGGCTGCGGGCTCCTTGGCGGCTGCCAACAGCTTGTCGATTTGGTACTGCAGCTTCTTGTCGATCGGCCGGATTTTCTGGGGGGGGGGAAGCGATAAAACAAGTCAGACTGGCTTGCCGAGACTCGGTGGAAGATTGAAGAAGCGGATTAGCAAAAGTCTCAACAAATTCGGCTGAATTTTCAAAGAGGTCTGCCTGCTATCCAGTGCTAAACCATTGGAAATGTCTGGAAGGGGTCGTCAAAAACAATGCCCACAAGAATTGGAAAGAAGTTGAGGGCCCCTTATCCTCAAGCTAGGACCCGCCCAAACCTTCGGTTCTAGGGGCGCCCAGAATAACGCCTGACTTCAGCCCCTAGATCCAAATAGGATGCACACGACATACGCCGGGAGCTGCCGCAAACAATCCCTCCTTTCCACATGCCTTTTGACTCAACCCAAAGAAACACCGAAACAGACCCAAAATTATTGCAGCGGCAAATACAATCACAACCCACAATTTTCCGTCGTCCTACCTCGAGGAAGAGCCGCAGTTCCACCATCCTAGTTATCACCGGGTGGTCCTGCACCGGCCGCCCCTCCGCTTTCAGCAGCAAGTAGAACACGATGTTCTGACAGTACGTCAGAAGCAGTAAATGCTTCGCCTCCAAATAGCTGATTCCGTCCTGCGTCGCATACTTCCCGTCCTTAACCGCCCTCAAAACCGGCTGCACCTTCTCGGTTATCTCCCTTAACCCCTCCCTTAACTCCCCCAGAAGCGACACCAGCTCGGGCGCCTCGCTCATCACTGCCGCCAACTTCTCTTCCCTCGTCAACGAATCCAAATCCTTCTTAACCTCCTCTACGGTGACCCCGTTTTCCTTGACCCCCTTCTTGACCCCGTTTTCTGCTCGGTTAGCGGCCGCCTCCAAAGTCTCTTCCCCGGCATCGGGGGTTTCTTTGTCGGACTCGTCCTCGCTTTCTTGGTCGTAATCTTCGGGACGCAGAGACTGCGCGAGCTTTCGCTGCTGCTCAAGTACCATCTCTTCCTCCTCGGCGGGGGCCTCTTCATCATCGGTCAGCTCAAGATCCACGTTATCTGCAAAAAAGAACATTTTTATTAGTGAACATTTCAAATGAACTTTGACTAAAACATGGAGATCCAAGGCGCTTGTGCATGTGCCCATCAACTAGCAAAGATCCAGGAAATTCATAGATAAGGAAGGGATAAGGAAGCGATGATATTGGACATTAGATTGCCGCCTAAGATGACTCTGCCATAACAGCAACACCCGGGCCTAGTTTTCTGAGAGTACCTGCCCCCTGATGATCAAACACGAGACAAGCACCTGTCGTTCAGACCAACGACTTGGGCATACCAAGTGACACCCCTTTGTTGTAAGCATTACTTCCTTCGTTTGCCAGATGTAGATGCCGCTGCGCCCTGCATTTGATGTCTTAGTCTTTTTGAGAATATGGCGTACCTCCTCCATAGTACACCTTCTTGCTCTTTCCCCACAGCTTCTGTTCATCGTCATCTTCATCCTCTTCCTCCTCATCTTGGTTGCCCACGCCCATCGCAGCCAGCTTCTGCTTCATAAATTTGGCCTGCTTTGCCAGCTTGGCCGTCATTCCACCCAGCTCCTCGTCATCGTCTTCGTCAGGATCCTGCGCAAGAAAAAGAAAAGTCAGCACTTACTGCAGTAGGAGAACACAAAAGGACTTGCCAAGCAAGGATTAAAGATGGGCGAAAGAAGTATGCTGTATTAACGAGAGAATAGGCCGGATTGCAGCTCAAGTTAGACCAAGAGCGAGCAGGAGTTTTTGATGCATTCGAAGGTAACTTTCGTTTGAAACAGCCCCCTAAGCATCTAAATGTATAGTTCCCAGTGTAAAAATGACTAGCTCGAGAAGTGGTGGAATAATCGGTAAAACAAGCTGTTGCAGCGTTCACAGTCTTTTTGACCATTACCAGAAAGCAAGGCGCGACCGAGATCACCTCACCATCAGACCATCAAACAATCCAATCTGCCACTTCTTTCGCACATCCTTCCAACAAAGTCAGATTTCCATCAAGAACACCTTTCTTGCATTCCATCATTCTTAAAGAAAGCAAATCAGAAGACTCACATCATCCTCAGACTCATCATCCGACTCCGCGCCCTTCACATCGAACACCGCCTCATCTTCCTCCTCGCTCCCAGACGCCTCCAAGTCCTCTTCCGCATTCAGACCAACTTTGTCCCGCCCCTTTGCAAACTCGTCAATCTCGTCCTCAAAGTCCTCTCGCCGGTATCCCATGTTTCCATCTGCTCGCCCCATTGTGGCACCTTTACCGCCCCTGCCGGCCTGACCACCCCCCATCGCACCTCGGTTCCCTCTACCGCCCCCGCCCCTGCCCCTGCCACTACCGCCCCTGCCCCTTTGGCCGCCACCCCGGCCACCCCGGCCGCCCCGACCGCCCCGCGCCATGATTTGCGCAACTCAGAAGAGAATGTCTACAAGGGCCTACAAGGGAGCAGAAGTTTGTATCCAGTAGGCCTATGCGTGGCCTTCAAAGGAGCAGTCTCAGCTCTCTGCTCGGCTCTCTGCTCGGCTCTGCGCTGCGCTGCTCTGCTCTCCACAATTTCAGAGCTTTCTCCATAACTTAAGCCGGTAGAACACGAGCAACAGCCATTACCGGCCGTCCGATGACCGTTATCGACGGCTGACGTTGATCGGCGAAAGTGATTTCGACGGCGTTTCTCCATAACTGCCCGCCAGCCCCCAGACCCCCGGCCTCAGCCAGGGGGTTATGGGGCTCGAGAGCGGCGGCCGTATGATAGATTCAGGGGCAAATTTCATCATAGCTTATGCTGCAACGAAGTACCCGCATGGTCGTCGAAGGTAGATCGTTATCGAACTTAAATTTCGCCCCTGGCCGTCGAAGGTTTAGTAGGTTCGAAAGCAATTATAGGCCGCGGAATACCCAGAGGCATAACCTACCGAATCGATTTCAACCTACCGGGGCATTGATAATGGAGGGCTCAGATGAAGGAGGCGGCATTCAATCGGACGGCTATCGCAGCGACTCGATATCGTGACATCACCAGCTTCGGAATCTCGTTATGCAAGTTAACCGTCCGGTAACCGAGCTAGCTTAACCCGAATCTGGCGCCATTTTCTACCACCAGCCATAGAAAGCATGGGCGCCCCATGGCGCTTTCCATCCTTATTAAACTGTCGAGCAATCTTAGTGTCCTTTTTAGCGTTAAAAAATCTAGGTTAGGTTGTTGGTCTTACCTTAGGTGACTTGAGTCGAGCTCGGCGGGGGCACTTGCATAAGCTCGCCCGCCACTGTTCATCGTCGTGATCAGCTAACTTTCTTGCTCCGCTCTACCTCTCTGAGCTCGCCCCTACCTAGCAAAAGTGGAATGAAAAGGAATGGTGGAGGGACGAGGATGAACGAGCGATGCGAGTTCTTGGTCTTGAAGGCAGTACGGGATCAGTCTATAGCGGCAGTCTGCAAAATGGCCCTAGCAAATTTCGGTGAATCCACCCTTCTTTGTTCGACATCACTCTACTGTTCGAGCGTACACTGTGTACGCTTTGTGTACTTTCACCATGACGCAATCGGCCGCGTGGTCACGAATCTGGGGGATCGAGCAAAAATGAGAGGCTTCGCCTCGTCAGGGGATCGAACGTGGTCGATTTGCCAAGCAAAGAGAAGCTATACGCATTATACTGCGATTACACCGGGTACCGAGTGCGCTGAACAATCAATATATATCGTGTAACATGCGCGAAGCGGCCGCCCTTCGTCCGTCGAACGTTTTATCACTTTCGAATGATTGTTCGACGATATTTTAGAGCCTACTTTTCGCCCGGTGCAAGTCACCGCCCTTTCTTTCACACTTAAAATCGGGGGGCTGCCGCCCCCCCGAGCCCCCCCGCTCCCTCCTCTGGAGGTCTTAGCGTCGTTGCACGAAAGTGGACCATAATTTGAGACAATGAGAGAATTGCCCTGTTCCGGCCGGCCGGCGACAATGACATTGAAAGGCTGCAAGCTGTGCTCCATCAAATTGGGGCCTACCTTGACGGCCGGATCGGTCGACACGGATCGGACGGTCGAGATACGGCAATGATTGTGACGGAATGCCCTTGACGGTAAATATGACTGGAGAGGATTTGCCACGTTAGCCCCCCGCCGCGATTTACTGGTACACGAGAGGCCCGAACGTCGAAGTTCGAACCGTACAAACTTAGGGACTTGCGACGGGCTTGCGACCGGGGCACATGGGCAGCGTTCCGAGCGGTGGTTGGTGCACGAACTTAGAAAGATGAGATCAGGCCGAAAGGCTATCTTTGTAGACTTGAAGGCCCAAAGAAATTCGGACCGAGGAGCAGGGTAGGATCTGCCGGGGCAAGTGTTACTTACGGAGCAGAGGCTTCGCTGTGGGAAGTAGAGTTGCTCAGGGCTTGAATGATGGAACTTGTGGACTCACATTGTACTGAAGTCAACAGTGGGATTAGTGAAAGCAGTGGGCAGTTGTCCAAAGGACATGTGAAAGTGGAGCCAGCCTCCTTGGAGGATTGGAGCGCATTGCTTCAGGCTACTTCAGGGTTGATTACCAGCAATGCCAGCTGAGGGCAGCTGTCAAGTGCCTCACATGCGCACAGCAGCTCTGGGTTAAGGATACGTTCTCTATATTGAAATGGTGGCAGTGATTATCTGCGGCTCACATTCCGTAAGGGCCAAGAGAGCAATGGACTCTACAAGGGCTATCTGATCAGCTCAGAAGTGCCGAAGGGGAAGCAAACAAAGCAAATTGTGTGCCTCAGTTGCATAGAGCTCGACTCCTCGGCAGCATTGCTGAGAGCGCATATGGGCAGTCAAAATCATTCTGGGGAGCAGAAGAGATGGCGGCGCAGAGGCTGTCATTCTACGGCGACAGCATGGTGCGGCATCCTGGACCCAGTGCTTTGATGTAACGGCGCTAGCTTTCCGGACCTATCGCGGGGATCCCCTGGTAGTCACGCGCACGCGGGTCGCGCACACTTGTGTCATTAACGCGCAGTGCGGCCGCGAGTTAAACCCCGAGCTAGTTCCGCCGTCGGATGGTCGGATCCGGTTGAATTCAAAACGGGCATACTGTCTGAGTCTATGCATGTGCACGTACTGCAAGTCTGCGACTCATAATATCATACACATGAGATTATGCATGCAACTCCCAAGAGGGAGCAGGAATGAGACATG